GATAATTGTGATTGACTGCTCCACTCCTCGTTGCTCTGGTCCGAGCTGAAAGTAAACTTGGTGGTGCTGCTAAAGAACATATCCTTCGTGCACTTCTCACTTTTCACTTTTTCTCAGGAATTCTATAGAAACATTTTGAGGGTCGTTTGCGAGCAAGAGGCGATTGTTCTATATTGCTGCGGATACATACTTGAGGACCAAACGATTCAAGGCCAAAACCCTTTGTTAGTTGAGCTCAGAGAAGAGGTAGCAATGAAAAGTTCCTTGTATATAGCATAATGTTTTTCAAAGACCGTTAGCTGAGTGGGACGGGCAGATAATAAGAAAAGGAAATTTATTTCGTGACTTACGCTGAGAATTCAGAAAAAAGTTAGATATTTGTACTTCTCAGTGCGCCATTCTTCCGTATATATATAGCAGAAAGTATGTATGAATATACGTAAATATGTCAGATATGTATGTCTCGAATAAGAATTTTCATTTCAGAATCAACAGCACAAACTCTGCAGGCATATATTTAGGGACGCGTAGTTACTCTATATCTTAGTTAATTGATCGATGGCGTTGAATCACGCCTTATTGCACCAGATAAGTTCATTACTTGGAATTAAACTGATGCAATTATCAGTCTCTATCAAATATTAAAAAGAGATCATGTAAATAAATTTTTAAATGCAACTACATGAAGTAGAGCTGAAAAACCTTTAAAGTAAGCAGGATCCCAACTGTTCCTACTAGTAGGCTTGTGAGTTTTCAATTAGTTGCATTTGACAGCTACAAAAAGACGCATACTCAATTGACTCATGCTGAGCTAGCTGGGTTGAAAAGAAAATTTGCATAATATATGTATAGCATACATGTTCCAAATGCAGATTTTTGTTTTTAAACCTATATAACCCAAACTCTGCATGCATGCCCTTTTGAGCGAAAGTGAGACATCTCATGATGATTAGTTGCTGAATGTGTTAATTCATTTTGCAATCAGTTTATCTCGTGAAAACGAGATATGATAATTATCAGTCGTCGTTAGATTATAATTACAAATAAATACGCATATTTCTCAGTTATGAGTTCAGAGAAGCATTTGTTAGCACAGTCACAAGTACGCTTTGAGATAAACTGCCTCGGCAAACTCTTTCGTTTGGAATTAAAATAGCGAAAGAGAACGTAACGAAGGGAAAATCCGTTAGAGTAGGCTTTTTTAAAATCGTAATCAAGGAATTGAGAGTGTTACTGTGACTCGGTATTAAGCAATCACCTGCCACATGATCCTCAAGAACTGCAAACTTCAAGTATTTGCCGGGAATAGCCGATATCGCAAGCTAATTTAAATAATTTAATCTTCAGCTGGGACTGAAATAGTGTCTATCAGGGAGTTGTCCTCAAATGTCGTAACCTTTACTGCGTGAACGGTTTTATTTAAATACATGGTGCACACTCAAATATCGTCTCTGGCTTTTCGAGATATCACTCTTTACTATTGGGCTACTCAGTAGAAAATGCACCCATTGGAACCGCCTTACAATTAGAAGACATTGAAATAGCACAAACTAGCGACGCACTACTGAGGAATGTGAAAACAATTTTGATTATACGGCCCTCAGATGAGATGAGTACTGGTTGGATGTTGGCAAGTTGAGGGCTGCGCTTAATAATACTGCATGAATGAGTGTATACCTAGGCTGAATAGATGGCACCGAGTGAGCTATTGGTAGAAACCCCGCTTATTGCCTTGCATTTTGAGCGGCTAGAAAGAACTCAAACAAAGTTCAACCGCGTATATATATTGCCTATAAGGAATTTCCTAGTGAGCTTATTTTCAGGTTTTCAAAAATCTCCATTGAGGATATTCAAAGAGAACATAGGATATGATATCAGGTTTTGGAATGAACTTTATTGGAATTAAAAGAAAGGAAATTCTGTGATTCACTCATTACATTCTGTTATCTTCAATTCTATAAAAGTCGAGGTTTATGTCAACTTAGAGGAAATGGTCAGCTTACTTACCATTCTTGTTCGCCGCATATTACATGCTCCATTCTCCAACTCAAATACAACATCCGGATTCGTATTGCTAAGGTAACTGCTCACACATGCATCCTATGTCAAAATTTGGATCAGAAAGTTTAGCGTTCTCAAAGTAAAGTTAGGCCTTACTTTGTCGACCATGCCTTTGACAAAAATTCTCCCTTGAAATGGTCGTTGGGTTTTGAACGTTAATCGCACTCGATCTTCCATACAATCAACCTCAGGGAGACCTCAATTATTATACGGTAGATCACTAGAGATGAACAAAACGCACGCTGTTGAAGACGTACTGGTAACACCATTGTCGAGGACCGGTGGTGACGTGACACCCCACGCAGATACGGTAGCGACGAATGTAAATACTGCAATGCGGAAGCACATCACTGGTCACCGTACCTTCTTCGTTATCCTGAGGACTCCTTTAATACTCAACACCTGACCACGCCCATTGTCGGCAATGGCAGCGAACTGTAGGACGAGTGGGAGGTGTGGCATTGCCTGAACTCTTC